CTATATATATATATATATATATATATATATCATACTCAATAGAAGGGAGAGGTAAAAGAAGCGAAATAAATTATGATATTTGAACTGTTAATGTTTTTTTTTGTTCTACAAAGAGTTAGGAGTGGTACTCATGCGTAATATATTTTTTTTCCCCCTTGCTGTGTGTTTCCCTTTTGCTGCATTGATTTCGTGCATAAAGGAAAAACGAAGTATGATGGATACTCCAAGAAGCAAGGAGGCCCTAACGAAGCTCTGTAGCTTCCTCTCCAGTGATCCTGGTTCTGCAAGAGAGAAGGACGTACTAGGCAACCTCTTCTCATCGTCTCCTGAAACGCATTTTCGGGGTGTGGAAGTGGAAGTGGCCTTTCTGCGGGCCCCTGCGGCTCACCGCGTTCCTCTTTATTTTACACTTCCGCAGGAGGTGCTGCCAGGGACGATATGCGTGGTTACCCCTCCACCTCAGCGCAAGTACAAGGACAAGGTTTTACGCCTGAGTGAGGACGGCAATGCTGTTGCGCAACGCGTGAAGAAGGTCATTGACACACAAAAACTCGCCATGAAGTTTGTTGACCCCGTAACTGTGAGAGCCCTTGCCAACAGCTTTGACCACTTTGTTCTGATTGGTGTCAAGAAGTACCCTTTCCAGCTTACGGGGGAATTTCTTGGTCACCAAAAGCCACCGGTTTGGATGCCGCTTCGCGGGGGGCTAAAGGAGACATTACTCAGGGCAGTGAAAACGGTGGTGTTTCAACGACGCGGGAACAGCGCCATAACATGCAGTATAGGTCACACGGGCCTTTCACTGGAACAACTCCATGACAACCTCCAGTCGCTTCTTGCCCAGATGACTAGTCATGTGCAGGCAATAACTCCGCAGGATATACTCCACATTCGCGTGGCTGGAACAAATGCTGAAGGCCGGCGTGCAGGTCTTCCCATCTTTGCCCATACGTTTCAGATTCCACGTGAAATGCCACGGGATTGCAGTGAGGAGCCAAAAACAAAGAAACTGAAGGAATGCAAATAAGTAATTTTCTTACCGGTCAAGAAATAACCTAAGTGAGGCGTGTAAATCAGAACACCTTTGTGCATCCTTTTACTCTTTATCTCTTCATGAGCGCCGTTGGATTGGTGCTTGTTTTTTTTTTTTTTTTTTTGACTCTCAGCTCTTTCCTTGTCTGTTTGTTTCTTTGGTTTCTTTTAGAAGAATACACCGTTGTTTTTTGTTGGGTATATCACTTTAATTAAAAGAAGCAAATGTCGTTTATGCAAACTGGTCCGACGTCCATGTTGAAGGACGGGTCCACCTTCCTCGATGATCCTGTCATCAAGAACATCGAGGCTTGTCGCGAGCTCGCAAAAATCACGCGCAGCTCCTTGGGTCCGTACGGATTGTGCAAAATGGTGGTCAACCACCTCAACAAACTCTTTGTGACGCACGACGCCGCAACCATCCTTCGGGAAGTTGATGTTGAGCACCCCGCCGCAAAGTTGCTGGTGCAGGCTTCCCAAGCCATGCAGGAAGAGGTGGGAGACGGCACGAACTTTGTTGTTGCTCTCGCAGGGGAACTACTCTCACAGGCAGAATCACTCGTGCGGATGGGTCTTCATCCAAGCGAAATTGTGGAAGGGTACAAAAAGGCAGGAAACAAAAGTCTGGAAATACTTGAAACCTTGGCGATCGGTACAGTGGATGATGTGCTCCTCAAGGAACAAGTACTTGCCCCCATTCGCACAGCCATTGCCTCAAAACAATACGGCTATGAGAATTTCTTGGCAGACCTAGTTGTTGAAGCCTGCATCAACGCATGCCCTTCTAACGTTCGGTCTTTCAATGTAGACAACGTGCGGGTGGCAAAGCTAGACGGTGATTCGGTGCTGGCATCTAAGAATGTCCGCGGGTTTGTGATTGCGCGCAGTCCCGAGGGTACTGTGCGTCATCAGAAACATGCCAAGATTGCCGTGTATGGCTGCGCGGTTGACGTCACGTCGACAGAGACCAAGGGAACGGCGTTGATTGAGTCAGCTGAAGGACTTATTTCCTATTCCAAGAGGGAGGAAGAAGTCATGGAAGGGATTATCACAAACATTTACAAGACAGGTGTGAATGTCGTTGTTTCCAACTCCACCTTTGGCGACCTCGCACTGCACTTTCTCAATCGCCACGGCATCATGGCGGTTAAGGTTTCCTCCAAGTTTGAGCTTCGACGTCTCTGCACTGCTGTAGGGGCTCGAGTTCTCGCCCGGCTCGATGCACCGACTGTGGAGGACATCGGCTCCTGCGACAACGTGGATGTGAGTGACGTGGGTGGAAAGAACATTGTCTCGTTTGTTCAAGACAAGGATGACTCTAAATTATCAACCATTGTTGTACGAGGGGCCACGAAGAATGTTCTGGACGATGTTGAGCGTGCCCTTGACGATGGTGTAAACGTATTCAAGGCTCTTACAAAGGACAAGAGACTTGTAGCTGGGGCAGGTGCTGTGGAAATGGAACTGCAGAAGCACCTTACACGCTATGCTGAGGCAAGCCCTGGTCTTGACCAGTACGCCATTCGCAAATTTGCGTCTAGCTTTGAAGTTGTCGCCCGAACCCTGGCTGAAGTTAGTGGCTTCAATGGGACAGATGTTGTCACACAGCTGGAGGTTGACCACAATGCCGGCAAGGTGCATCAGGGTGTCGGTGTGGAGGACGGTACCACAATCAATGCCCTAGAGGCAGGCATTGTGGAACCGTACCTCACAAAGTACTGGGCGATTAACCTGGCCACCGAGGCGGTGTTAACGGTGCTTCAGGTAAATCAGATCATCGTCGCTAAGCAGGCTGGTGGCCCCAAGAACCGTCCGGATCAGGCAAGAGACGAGGAGTAAAAAAGAAAAAAAAAGAAAAAGAAAACAACAACAACAAGAGAAAGGAAAGGAAAAGGGAAGAAGGGGAAAAAGAAAAAGAAAAAAATGAAGCGATGGCCTGCGAAGTGCACTCGATGAATAAATGAGAGGAGTCCTTACAATGCGTCCCCCGTACTTCTGGTGCCGTGTACTAGCTCTGATAGATGTGGGTGGGCGAGAGGAGTGGGAAAGCTTCCGAGTAGTAAATTTCAGGTACAATATTTTTAAATGAGCGTAAAAGCTATACATATAAGGAGCACACCAGCTATTGTTGTTGCTGCCGCGGTTCCGTTGTTTGGATGGTTGTTGAGCCCTTTCTGTCGGCGTTTTCTTGTTTATTTTATTATTATTATTATTATTTTTGCTTCTTTGCCACTTCATAAAGTGGCGGTGTAATGTGTTGTTCGTGACCATTTTGGTTTGTTCTTTTGCTGTTTTTTTTTTTTTTGGTACTAGTGAATGAAGAGGGGGGCGTCGTCACTTGCAGGTGATGGAGCAAACTTGCTTGGATCTTCAAGGTCTCGGAATTTCAAGCTTTTGGGGCATTAAGGAGACGGATGTTGAGTATGTTACTATCGACCTGCGAAACAATGCGCTGCGGAGTTTTGAGCACTTTGGCACCCATCCGAAATTAGTTGAACTGAGGCTTCAAAACAACCAAATAAAAAGTTTAATGGGTCTCACTAAACAACCTTTGCTTGCCGTAGTGGATCTCGATGGAAACCCCATTGCTTCCCATCCATGGTATCGCGTCATGGCGCTATTAGTCGTTGGATTTTCCATCACCACCATTGATGGAGTTGCTGTTTCGACAAAAGAGCGGGAAATGGCGCAGGAGTTGGGTCCTATTGCAGCCCTTGCAGTTAGTTATGGATGGAAATTGCAGCCAGGGGAACGGTCGCCAGAGGAATATCGCCAAATCATAGACGAATGTAAAAGGGTCCGTAAATGCGCCCTGCAACAGCATCAGGGCTCATTTCATACTATTGAACTTGCTTTGAAGCAATACAAAGGCACTGAAACTTTGTTGTCATCTGCCCTTAACGAGACGTCCATGGGAAATGACTCAAGCGCATGGAGCTTGGAATTCCTCTCTGAACGTGTGAAGGAGCTTGAAAATTCACTTAGCGAAGCTCGAGAGCAGCTGGAGGTTCAGCAGGCGCGTTGGAGAGAGTCAGTAGATCTGGGTTACGTCGAGGGAATAACTGGTGCGGAACTTGGTTGTGCGCGAAGCATTTTGTTTACTGACGGCATTTATTTGCGTACAAATACCATGGATTCGCCACCCCATGGAAGTAACGGGCAGACGCGTGGTTCTGTCATGTTTGAAGGTTCCTCATTGGTGCTACTTAGTTTCATGTCAAGGGTTCGATTGGCTGAGTCAGCATTGTGCAATATCAAGGTTGAGTACTGCCCGCCGAGTTCCCTGCGTGTGGAGGGGGCATATGGTGCAGCTTTTGAAATTTTATTCGAGCACACCCTGTCCCTGTGGTGTGTGTACAAATTGTTGTACTTGCGGCGTGGAATACCCGTTCCGCCGCTACATCTAAGGGACCGGGTTGAAGGTGACGCCATGCTAAGGAAAGTCACAACCACCCAACTGGGTCTGGAAAATACAGAGAATAGTGGTATACCTATCAGTTTCCTCAACGAAAAGAATGAGCCTCACGGGGAAAATAATTCACCCCAGGAATTCATTGGGACCGTGATGTCTCTTTCCTCGGAGCGGAGATCTCTCCCAGAGGTGGAGTTGCCGCCTGGGGATTTGCCATCTCCAGGGATTCGAAGCGTGCAGATGAGCTCAGATACAAAGGTTTCACCAGTGGAGAATGTTTTGCAGGGCAAGCCTCTTGAGAAAAGGTCCAGCAGCCGTTCTGTGAGTGATTTCCCTGCACTAAGACAGGAAGAGCACATGGAGGCGAGTTGTAACACACTTGAAGAATTACGCGCGACATCTTGGTCAGTGTCACGTAGCCGACCTTCGCCGCCTTCACGACTACCAAGGCGTAGTTGCTCTCGCACATCTCCACCACCCATTCCCAAACGTCATCCCTCGTCAGCCGGAAACACCGCGGTTCTGGAAAACTTGAATGTTATTGGCGGTCTTGCAAACTCCCATGAAGATGACCTTTGTCTTCATATTCAGCGGTTTCGCATGCTTGCCTCGGATTCGGATTCGGATTCGGATTCGGATTCGTGTTTGTTGAGAACAGCCCATTCAGAAAGGCGGTTGTAAATTCCAAGTTTGAAAACAACAACAACAACAAAAGACAAGTGCGTTTGTGTCGGGGGGAGAGAGTAGAAAAGGCCAGGTCTGTATTTTTGTGCTATGCGAGGGCGGGTCGTTTCTGCCTGATTGTCAGTTTGTCGGTTTTTTTTTTTAGGTTTTATGTCACGCTTCTCTTTTATTATTATTATTATTATTACACTTTGCTCTTGTGTTTTTGCGCGGCACCCTGCATATTATAGTAGCTATCCAGGAGGAAATGGAGCCACAAGGAAACATGGTGATTAAAATTGAGGACGCCGTCAAGAAGGCTGTGGAAGACACAATCAACGCCGAAGTTCGTTCTGGAGCGGTGGGCCGATATTCAAACCCATCGGCGTCCGGCCATGCAACATCTCACCCACTTGCTTTGACGACATTTGACACCTCATCCACGCTTCCAGATTTTATTCCACTGGTGGGTGTCGCATGGCCTGAACCAGTCAAGGCGGTTTGGAAAACATTCAAGGCAAACTCCATCGTTGGTCTCTTTCCGGAGCTCTCCAGGGCGTGGATAACTGTGGACAATAAGCTTCTCGTGTGGAATTACGGTACGGGAAGGGATTTTTTAGTGTACGATGAGATACCAGAACTTATCGTGGCTGTGGGTAATCCGGTTACGCCCGCCACGGCTGTTTTTCAGCCTCACATTACACTTGTGTTCCCTGTAGCCACTCCGAAAACAATTCATCTTCTGGGGCTATGTGTAGTGGGGGATGAACCCGCAAAAAGTGCCGAACTATGTGTGGTAAACCTGGGTTTCTCTGCATTAGCTCCCACTCTGGTCATCAAGTTTGTTGGATTGAATGATGTGGGGCGTATCTTTACCGCTGGAGCAGACGGGTGTCTCTACGAGCTGATGTATACGAAGGAAAGCACCCAATTGTTTCCGAGAGTTAGGCTTATAAATTATTCTATCATGTTCGCTGGCATTCCAATTTTGAGTACTGTTAGTTCACTCATGAGCACTTTTAAGCAAGCATGGGGGAAAGAAAGACCTGCGTTGCTTGATGTTGCCCTGGAGGCGAAGCGCAAGCTACTGTTTACCTTGGATGCCGAGAGCACAATAGCAATGTGGAGGATAACAGACGATGGGCTTAAGTTTCTCTCCACAATAAAGTACACCCGGAGCTCCTTGGATCGCTACCGTCACTCAGAGTCCTCAATGGATGGTGCGGAGCGTCTTGTAAAGATATTTTGTGTTTCACCGTACGAGGAAAATTGTTCCGTTGTCGTCATTGCATCCAATGGGGAGCAGCACCGATATATCTGTCAAGAAGGCATGTGGGACCGTATTGAAGGGAACCTCACTTTGCGGGATCGGTTACCTTCTTACGTTCCGTCCAATCGTGAGGTCAGTGTTTGCTTTGCCTCGGATGGCATAGCCATTTTTTGTCACACCGAAAAGGATGACGAAAGTGCCCCCTCAGATTCTGTGACTGTGGCCACCTCCCCCAAGGCAGTCATACCGCCACATCATCATTGCCGCGATATCGTTGCCCACTTTGAGCCCTCATCGTCACGTATGGTCCGAGTAGACGCGATAGGTGAGGTTCCTGTGAAAAAAAGTGTAAGCCCTAACGAATTGTGTTCTCAGGTGTCTTGCTCTTCTAAGCAGTTTGTTTTTGCACACCGTCATGGCATCTCGACCTTTATGAAGCTGCGTCCTGTGGACACCCTTCATATGATACTTTCATTCTCTGGCCATCAAACTCGTGACAGCCTGCTTCAGCGGTTTTCGTCGGTGTATAATGCCTCTGACTACTGCTGCATGCTTGTGCAGATTGCTGTTGGGTGCACAAACGTACCGGCTATTGTAAACGGCCCATATATTGAGAATGGCATCGCCAATTCTCCCCTGTTGCAGACGGAGAAGTCTCATGGGAAGTCACAAGGACCTCTTTCAATGGAGAAGGTTGGCTCCCAACTAATCAATACGACTTCACAAGAAGCTCAACGTCTGGCCCGTGAAATACTTCGTAATGCGATGATGCCCAGCTGGCATGAGGGTCCAACCTCCGCTAGTGGCGGCAGACAAATTGTGGTGCAGGTGTCGCCCTTTGCGTTGGGGGTTGCAGCGTATATTGGAAGGGCACTCTACAAAGTCTGGGAGATGACGATGGGAAACCTTCCTTTGCAGGATTTGGCTGTCATTGAAGTGGCGCTTTCATCGTTGGTGCGTCTGCTGAACAGTTTGAAAAAGGATGTGTGGTCTGAAAATCTGGTTCAACCCTCTGTGCCATTTCGCTGGGATCAGAGCAAGGTGACGCTGACATTTCCTCCTTATGGCTCTTCTGTATCCTCCTATGACCTTAAAATGTTGCAGTCTGCTTTCTTGTACTCCGCTCACTTTCTCTGTGAGCGTGTATTGCAGACTATTAAGTTTGCAAAACAAACAGGGTACATCCCACTTTCTTTGGATGACAGCAAAGTCAGCTTTGCGCAAGTTGTGTGTGATCAAAGTGTCGCCCATCGACTGGCACGTTATATCGGAAGATTGGTATTGTCCAGTGAGCACACAGTTGGATTTTCACAGCCAGACCGCATTGGTCCATTAACCCAGCTTCAACTTGAGTGTCCATACTTCTTCAGCTCCATTGATGTTCAGGAGTACAGTGCAAGGATTGAACTTGATCAGATACTTTCGTCAAGCAATGAAAGCCTTCATGCGTGTTCAGAGAGTAAAATGACGGAGTGGGAATCCTCTGTCTCTCGCGTGGCTGCATCGTTATGGACCTCCGGGGCTCTACAAGGTATCTGCCAACAGCTTAAGGCACTTAAAAAGGAGGACGCCGTTGTCAGACTCCTCCTTCACGCTGCAAGTCAATTGGACCCAAGCAATTCAGTGTTTGAGATTTATCTTGCGGAACGAAACGGTAACAGAAGTCAGAACTTTAGCTCCACGCTTAATGCAGTGTATCAGCAAAAGGTGAAGTTGCTGACGGCGGTGGTTGGGACACTGGAGGAGACCTGGAATACGCACCGTAGTGTGGTGGACGACCTCCTTGGAGGGCCACTGTCTTCGGGATCTATCTGGCAGGTTGAACCCTCAGATGAGATGGCGCATTGCTTTCTATTTGATTGGATGTGTGTGCCACGTGACGACGCAACCATTACATCCATGCTGAAAGAGACGTTGTCCACGATACAATCTCCCTTTCTTGAGGCGTATCTTCAACGCAATGCGCTAACGCTTGGGGAACAGTACGCACACTACTTGCGAAGGACGAAAAAAAATTTCAAGAAGGCTATTGAGGTCTGCGCTGCGATGGCACAGGCACCACTGGCAGACATTTCACGCGAGGAACGCATTCCCTACCGTCTCCGGTGTTGGTCTGAGGCACGAGACTGCGCTGCTGAGTGCAACTCCGATCAGTTAGCGCTTCTGGAGGAGCGCGTCAAGCTGATGGAGGCGCAACTCCAGCTATCAAAGATCATTTGCGAGTTTATTAATAGTGGCCTTCCTCAGTTGGACCGACAGGTTTCTGTGAGTGGGCAGGCATTGCTTACGGAGAGACAAATCGCATTGGAGCAGTTGGAGCTTGTGGATAATTTTGCGCTCTCCATCAGTCAACTTCTTGAGGTTGCGGGTTTGTTCTGCGCATTTGGTGGGGCGGAAGTGCAACTGGACGTCTTGAGTGCTTCGAATGTCACTGACGCATCGCTCTACGCAGCTTGTATTGAGCAGGCATTTCAACGAAGAAACACCACTGTTGAAGAAACAGCACGACGAATTATTGGTAAATGCCGACATTTGATTGCTTTTCCGTTGAGCCACGTAGCCAAAATGCTTGAGGCCCATGCGTTTCATCAGTCACCTGAGGGATCCACGCTGACTGTTGACATCCTTACGGACTGTGGGGTAGAACACAACATTGTTTTTTTTACGCTGGCATCAATTGTTGAAAAGAAAGATGCAGTTGGGCTTCCTTGCGAGGTATTTGATCGATCCGGAGTGACAGATGCGTTTCTGGTGCATTCACTGGCTGTCGCCCTTCATCATGCGGTGTTCGCCCCACATCTTAGGTCTGTGCAGTTGCACTTCTTGAGAAATGCTCTCAACACAGTTCGTGAAGGCATTAATAGATGTGCGTATTTTCGTGGGGATGAGTGCAGCCGTCGGGCGCTAACTTCGGCGGAGCAAATATTGGAGCAGTGCCACCTCGCCGCCGGTCGGTTAACTTCCAGGCCTGGTTTCTAGCGCCCTTGTAAGAAGGAGCGAGAAATAGAGAATAAGGGAAGAAGAAGGAAATAAAATATGAGCAATTGGAATGGGAAGGAAGGACCGCGAGGAGAGGAAGAGTTTGGGGCCATTTGAGGTTATCTTGATTTGAAGAGGGGGTATTTAGAGTTAAGGTAAGAGCGGACAATGCATATTTGTTGTGGCTGTGGGCATGTGTGTCCGTGTATGTATGTGCGTGTGCCTGGATAAATGCATAGGCGCAGCAGAATATTGTGCAGAAGAATATTGTGGTGACTTATTTGCCTCACGTTTTTTTCTTTTATTTTTATCTTTTCCTTTTTTTTTTTTTACTTTGCCTGATTTATGTGGTTTATTTGCTGCTGTTGTATTGCTCGCATCTTAGGGAACGATACCACAGCTCATGCCGGGTTGGCACGCCGTGGAGGCGCGTGGAAGGCGAAGCTGCGTCGCTCGCCTGGAGGGGGCCCGGCGCTTTTTGGGTGAGTTCGCTGGCTACTGTGATGTCAGATGTGAGAAGGGACACCACGTGGACGGCAATGTTTGGTACGCCGATCACTACCTCTACCCAAACCACTGGCAGCCCGGATCTAAGACGCAGCCGCGACTTGTAGACGATGGCCACGTGAAGTCGTGGTTTGATTTGTGGACCATGTCTGTTGCCATGCGTATGTGCGTGCCGATATTGATTGTTCTATCACTTATCTTGTTCGTATAATCTCTGCAGCAGAGTGAAGGAGCGTGCGTGGGTGCGTGGTGCATGAGTGGCGTGAGTGAGGCGCTACTGGTGAATATGGAGAGACTTCTTTTGCAAACTGTGGTTGTTTATCTCTGTCTCCTCCTATCGCGGGATATTAACTTGGACAGAAAGAAAACAATTGGGAGGCTGCCAATGTGTGTCTGTTCATGTGCCTCTTCACTCTCCTCCTCACCCCCATGCCGCTGGCGTCATAAGGGTGGGAAGCAAAAAAAAAAAAGGGTGGGATGACCGATATTATCTCCCGTGTGGAGAGACTAAAAAACAGAATTCGCGTCAAACGAGAAGAAGTGCACCGCCATTTGGATGCCTCGTTTTACCGTCAGTGCCGCAGTGTCCTCCGTGCCGTGATGAAGCACGATGAAAACGGCATATTCGCCTCTAATCCTGCTGTATTACCGGAGTACGTGCTGATGATTTCGCGTCCAATGTGGTGGAAACTCATTTCTCGGCGTCTTGACAATTACGAGTACGCCAACAAGATGGAGTTTGTGCGTGATATGAGGCTTGTGATGGACAACTGCTACGCGTACAATGGTGATGCTTCTCCAGTGGCAACGTTAGGGCGGCGCCTGGAGGTGGTGATGGAGGATCTCTTCGTGACAGAGCTTGCCGTCGCGCCACCAGATGCAAGAGAGATCATAACACTTGGCAAGGGTGTAACGCATGCGCAGGCCCGGCAGCTGTGGGACATAGTGTGCCGCTACGAGGGTGAGGGGCAGGGAACTTCCGCTGTGCGACGGCACATTGTCCCTTCACAGCTCAAGTGTGCGACGCAGCGGCGTGTGGTTGCCTTTCTTCGCCACAAAAAAGAAGTAAACGAACAGGCTGGTCGCTCGGGAAAAGCTTCCGCCGCACACCAGCAAAGGCAAACACTTCCTCGGCCTGTGAAACCGCAGGCGCCGCCGCAGCCGACGCGAAGTCTACTGGAGGATGACGCGGACGTCTCCTTCAGTGCAGATCAGAAGGTGACGCCAAAGCCTCCGCAGGGGCTACACCTTGAGCGCGTGCCGCAGAACAAACGATTGGAGTTTACCTCGTTCCGTCCAGTTAGCCCTATTCATCTTGAAAGCTCGGATGCTGGGGATGCAGAAGAAGGAAAAGGAGAAGTGTGATTGCCAATATATATATATATATATATTCTGTGGAGCTGTATTGCTGCAAAATTACTTCATATTTGTTTTTCTTGTCGACTGTTTCAATTTTTTAGTCTATGCTTTTTCTGCCTGGTAGCCGGGCTTTGCTCTTGTTCGTCTCTTGGTTCCATCACTTCTCCTCCTCTCATCTCCTTTGAGTTGGTCCTGTTCCGCCATGGCAAGCGATAATAATAATAATAGGCGGGTCATTTTCTCCCGCGGTCGTGGGTGCTCGCCATCATGAGCCGCACCGTGACGAAGGAGCAATACGCCAGTGTGAGGAAGGTAGAGCGGATGCTGCTGGGCGCATGCCTCACGACCCCACGGCAGGGCCTTCTTGATCCCCACTCCATGGGGATTATCAACTTTTTGAGTGGTAAAGAATCCAAACTACAGGCTCTCATGAGGCAACTGGACGTCGGAGCTCATAAATCGCTGCAGCCCATTAAGTTGCTGGTGGAGTTTATGAGCTTTATTGTGGGTGGCCTCACAATTGAGGCAGACAAGATTGAGGAGGCTGTCTGTGATGCGCGGAAAGCTGTGGCGGCTCTCACGCACGAAATTCAACGGCGCAAGCTGGAACTGGGATGCAGGAAGCAGTACAGCGGCACCAACGTTACTCGTACACTGGATCAGTTTTACCGCACAAAGCGTGCGATCTTCTTGAGCACAGCCAACCGCCGCGGGAATGAGGAGGGGTACACGCATGATCTTATTCTGGCCATCACAGAGGATCGAACCCTTCTACAAGAAAATAGGCGAATACTGCGCGTTCTCATCATGGTGCAGCGACTTTTATGGGGATCCGGTAATGTGTCAGAGGAGGATATTGAATGTATGCTTCGTGACTTTAGCATCCCGCTTACTATTCGTCGGTTTCATCACAAGCTGAGGGACCTTATGCTTCTACTCAAGCCAGAGGCACGAAGCTCGCTAAAATGTTTGCTATCGCTTGGGGAATTTATTGCGAATGTTCATATTGGGCTCTCTGCGGCCACAGAAGATTTGGACGTATGTCTATTCTCGCTAAAGAAGTGCATTTTGATGCAGGAGGAAGACTTGAGGGTCCGCCGCATCAACGCATTGCGTGAGGCACCCTCTGTAGAAGTTTCTTCGGTGTTTCACCTATCGGGGCCCAACCGGCGGACGTCGACGTCTGCACGGGAGACCGAAGAACTCAGCAAACTGTATTGTTCATAGATGATGGTTCTCACATGCCCATTGTTTTTGTTGTTGTAAGTACAATATCATTGTATGTGGTCTCCGTTTGCCTCTCGTTTTCGTCACTCTTTTTTTTTTAATTTCTCTCTCTCTCTATATATATATATATACAAAATGTGTTTTAACGACTGTATTTAGGGCGGGTTGTAAACAAGTGTGATACGTTTCTGTTTTGGTTGTTGTGTGAGTCCTTTCATCTTCTGTTGCTCGGTTACTTCGTTTATTTTTTCTCACCGTTCCTTTTCCTTGTATGAATTTGGTTTGTGGCTGTTTTTATTGCAGGCAATTTTTGCGTTACAACTCCGGCAGCGCAGCTGACGTGGCGGCCTGTGCAACATGAGCCGCAAACGGGTGAGATCGCCCGAGGCGGTGCAGCATTGGCTAATGAAGTCTGAGCCGGACAAGTTTTCGATTGATGACCTCAAAGCGAGCGGACGTTCTCCGTGGGATGGCGTGCGCAACTACGCGGCGCGGAACAACATGAAGGCAATGAACGTTGGAGACCGCGTCTTATTTTATCACAGCAATGCAAAGCCGCCCGGAGTGGTGGGCCTCGCCACTGTGGTGAGGACGGCGTATCCCGACCACACAGCGTTGGACCCGGCGTCTCCATACCACGATGCAAAGGCGACCAAAGAAAAGAACCCCTGGGAAATGGTTGACATCAAGTTTGGGGAAAAGTTTCCCGCATTGCTGTCGCTGGAACGTCTAAAGGGCGAGAAAGAACTCCGTGAAATGCAACTCTTTTCTAGGACTAGGCTAAGCGTACAGCCTGTAACGAAAGGCGAGTATGAGCATATTCTTTGGCTTGGGCGTGGAGGAGGAAAAGGGTGATATCTGTGATTTCAACAAGCCCTACTGATTATGTGCTTTGAAATAAACGACGCACTTGTTCCTTTGCAGGCTCGATGTTTGAGTAAGTAATTCATCGCCATCCTGCCATCGTATTATTATTGTTATTTATCTATCTATCTCTCTCGTCATATTTATTAATTGACATTCTTTCTGTCCCGGTAGCAAAGATGAATCGCGAGGCAGTGGCGGCTCCTTTGGCTGCTGTGCAACCACCGTTGTTGACGGTACCTCTTCCCCCACCAATACCATCGCAGACCTCGACGACGTCGTACTCCGTTCCCCTAGTAACTGCACTGTCAGTCCCATCGGTGGTGAGCCCGCGGCAGCCAGTGGTGTCAACGCCTCTCTTGGTTCCACTGCCGCATGTGACGCGTCAGGAGGCGGAGCGGCCGGCACGCACCGTGCCGCTTCCCGCGGAGGCTCCTCCCAAAGTGGGTGTACAAGGCGTGGGTGTTGGCTCGCAGCCGGAACCAATGAATGTATTAGAGGAGAAAACTGCGGTGATGGACCAACCGTCTTTTGTGGTGTATCCGCCATTTTGTGAAAAACCGCAAACGAAGTGTGTTGCACCATTTGATGAAGTTCAAAGCTTCAGTGCCTTTGCTGCCCCTGTTTGCGTGCCGATCACAGAGAGCCTCTCCGCTCTGCCTCAGCAGCTGCCCCCTCCGTACGTTGTGTTTGGCGGAGCGCGCTATGAGCAGATGCCCTTACCAAGAAAAACGCAGCGTCGTGTTGGCTCGAGTGGGGTCTGTCAGCGTGCTATTTCACTGAAACGAGCCACGCTAGCACACATGAAAGGACAACTGAAACTTGCTGGAGAGTACTTGCATTTGGAGACGCCCCCTGTGCTCCTTTCTGCACCCCAAGGACGGGAAGTATTACGATCTACTACCATTGCGGCGGAGCATGCCTTGTCGTCGGACGAAGGTGTCTTTTCCCCAAAGAACATTTGGACCGTAGCCTACATGGGGACTGCGAAGGTGCTGCACAGTTTTATAGAGTCCTTTGATGTGGATGCCATCAACGCAAAAGGTTTTGTGCTTTATAACAGGCGACAATATGGTATTAAGAAGTGTGGTGAGAAGCTTCTTTTAGGCCTTGGCCGTAAAGCTACCCCTCTTCAATTTGCCGCTGTCGCGGGCCATCTTGATAATGTTGTTCTTCTTCTTCACTGTGGTGCAAAGGATGACTCAACTCCACACCTGAAGGAGATTGTTGCTGACGACGTTATGGAAATTATACAAGGATTGACCGCAGGAACCCGCGGTAGGCGAGGAGTCATGGGCGGTAAGGCCAAGGGGGGTCATAATGTCCCTGTTACAAGTGTCCCAGTACCGTTGAAGGCAGAGGTGGTGGTTCCTCCTGTGGTTGTGGTGTGAAATTCATCCAGTGAGTTGTATTACGATAGACAGGACGTATTCTGCATACACACTTGAATGCCTGTTTGAGCTTGGATGCAATGAATGTCTGGACTGAGATTGGTTGCGTGTGTTTTTTTTTCTTGTTTGTTTGTTTTGTGATTGTCCCTTTATGCTCTACTTTGATTTATTTGTTGTTGTTTTTATATGTATATATATTTGTCTTCTTTTTTTTCCCACTCTCGGGTATTATTATTTGTGTGCACATGTGCACATGGAATAGTCTCTGCGTACACATTCCTTTCTGAATGGAGGCTTTGCTTGATAGATGCCTCTTTACCAGGGCGTGGACTGATGCGAAGGTAGAAGACTTGGTGGAGTATGCTGGTACCGGAAAAGCGCGTCTGTTCCGCACCGGGGCCTTTACCTCTTTTGACGTGAAGGAGTCACACCAGGGGGATGTGAAGTGTCTCCCCACTGGAGCACGCACACTTCTTCTAGATGCGGAAGTCAGCAAAGTTATGGTCCGTGGTGTGGATAAGTTTTTCGATTTTGAGGATGTTGAAACCAAAGAGCTTAGCAAGGACCAACTATGGGAGCTGGGTCCTGTCTGGTTGCAGCGAAAGATGGCCGGCTTTACAGTCACCTTGTTTTCCTTGGACGGTGAGTCTGTCGGTGTTTCCACAAAACATGTTGTGGAAGGCTCCCATGTTGATTTGGCTTTGGGCGTGTTGAACCGCTCGTTGTCTGTCGCGCAACAAAAATCTCTTGCTGCTGACCTCTTCTTGACGGAAGCTGCGGTTAGCTGCGAATGTATCTCTCTCAATGACGATCTGGGCCACCCTGTACTGGAACGAAGTGAATATGACAACATGATGGTTATTTTCTCGATTCATAAGCGGAACGATCTTCGGGAGATTGCGATGCCTGTTGAGAAGGTGCAAGTACTGGCCGAGCGGTGGGGATTACCGGTAGTGCCTAGTTGGCGTGCCAGGGATTGTGGAGAGCTGCACCTGTGGCTACAACAGAGAGAAAAATGGTTGGGAAAGGGCCCAGATGGAATGCCGCTTGCCGAGGGATATGTTGTACTTGTTGAACTGCCTGTAACCCGAATCGCATCATGGATTGTGCTTGAGGAGCCGTTTACTGTGGCTCCGCTTCGCCTGAAGGCAAAGACGGTAAGGTACCGCGTTCTGCGCTCTCTGCGCTCCATTGCCTCAGAGGAATCCATGGAGAGTCCAAAACTGTTTCATGAGGTCCTTGCTGCGTGGTCAGAGCACATTGGTGGGTATAAGTGTTTTAGTGAGGCCGTGCTTGAACTTGGGGTATGTAAAATTGCTTCACAATTTGAGACCTACGTCTCCTCGCACAGAAGGGCGAGGCTTCGTGAAGGCCATATGAGCATTGGACGAGCCTTTGAAAGGCTTGTGGAGTTTACAGAAGGAGAGGTACGTGTAGGGCGACACGCGCCGTTGAACGTTATTATGCTGTGTGGTATTCCAGGGGCTGGTAAGACCACTCTGACTCAGACCCTTGTAGCGATGGCGGGACGTGGTGGGTCGCCCTTCCGATACGTAATCAACCTCAGTAGGGATCAAGTTGCCAAGGAGGTTGCCGCACGTGAGGGCATCGATGACTCTTCCAGCAAACACAAGAGGAGAAAACTAAAGGCAATGGTGCACCGTGCACTGTTAGCAGCGGTGAACTGGGCCGTGTCGCTTTCGCTTCTGCAAGATGGTCCTGGTCTTCTTATTATGGATGCTTGCCATGCCAAGGCTGAAACGCGGCGTGTATGGCGCGCGATTTTGCCCAAAAAACTTGAAAGTTTTCGTCTGATTTATGTGACCTGCGCAGATCACTCCGAGCTTTTGCGACGCCTTGCGAAACGGGAGAAGCATGACGTGCTTCACAACGCTGAAGAAGCCCAGGCCGCGCTTTACATGGTAAAAAAGGTGTTTGTTGCGCCTTTGGAAGACGAGCCATGTGTGTGGTTGGATACCGCAACCACCTCAGCGGAGGACATGGTCCGATACATCTTCTCTCTGTACAACATGGAGACACGGCGTCAGTCTGTTATCTACGATTACCGGGGAGCTGAAGAAAAATTGATGACACTGCGGGCTGTTCTTCTTGAGTCCATTGTTGGATCCGTTGGCGAAGGGGCCTTCACACTGCCTGTGAAGAACGCCAAACGCGTAAAAGCGCCAAACGCTATTTTAGTGCGACTGGAGATGTCTTGGGATGAGTTGTTTCAAATTGTATCGGAGGCCATCATGACCGCGGCAGTCACGGACTGCTCGATCCTCAGCTGGTGGGAAAGGTGTAAACGTGCGCTTGGAATGGGGACGAGAAGACGCAACTCAATCATTGAAAATGGACACACACGTTGGATTCATGGCTGGCTATTTGATGGATGCGAAGAGGGCAAGGCACTTCCTGTTGATGCCTGGCGTCGCGCGCTCTCCGAGCGTTTTGATTGCCGCTCTGCGACCCCACATGTGACAATTGCCTATGATGCTTCCTATGTGGAGGCATCCTCAGCGATTTTCATGGCTGGCAGCATTGCCGAGGTGACACTTACCTCTGTTTTGTTTGATCGTTTTGCCATTTGTTTGGGCGTCGTGGTTGTGATAGATGGACGGTGCTACGAGAAGCAGCTTGATTCATCTGACGCTGTGCCGTTGCATGTGACCGTGTGTCACACAGCACACGTAAAATCCTCGTATGCGGGAAAGATGTTTGATCTTTTTATGGGGTGGGGACGTCACAACGACGAACTCCAGCACCTAAGGAGTGGCGCAGTGGTGAAGCGAAGTCGATCAAAGTTTCACAACTTTCTGAAGCTGCGTCTGGAGAACTCCATCTCTCTGCGGGGGGTTATTCATGTCGAAACGTGAGTGAGTCTATTAATTGTTTGTCAGTGCAGCAGTGACTGATGTATCTTTCTTTATTCCTCTGGTGGTCTGTGTGTGGCGTTTGTGTGCGAGATACCTCTTTGCATGGAGGGATGCCTTTAGTTTTGTCCTTGTTTTCATTGTTTGCTCATCCCACTGTTTTTTTCTTCTTCTAGTCCCTTGGGTTGACGTAGGTGTTCCAGTAAATGTCGGAGACTATTGACAGCGTAGCCGTTCAACACGCAAGGGACGACTACATGCAGCATTTTTCCGATGTCTTTTCGGAGGAGCTCGTAAGGGTGTATGAGGCTGACGGGAGCTCCACCGCGGTGGAGCACCTCACCGCCTGCATTGAGATCGGGGTCGCAGTGTGGGGCCACCCAATCGTCTTCAAGAACCCATTGAAGTGATGAAAGTGGTTTTACATCGTTTAACCGCTCTAATTCTGCGACACAGCACTTCTTTGTACGTTCACGTGTGTGTGTGTGTTGGGTTTTGACTTGTGTTGTGCGGGGGAGTTGTTTTTTCTATCTTTTCTGCTGCACCGTAGCTCGTTATTTATTTATTTATGTATATTTGGGGTTTATGCACTTGTTCTTCTTC